CGTTATACCAGTAACGCCGGTTAAGGAAAAGTTTACATTTGAGAATGAAGTTGAATTTAATAGAAACACCGATCAGGAGAGAGAAGGGGTGGAGCTCCAACTGCTGCTCTTTGATCACTGAGGACATTGTGAAGCAGCAAACCTGGATCAGAAGTGAGAATTGTATATACTGTGTTGCGAGCTGCTCTCTCGTCATTATATGTACATGAAAAAGTTAAATCTTAAATCTTTTCAACAGCTTTCCTTTACCATAAAATGACAACATGTTCAGCGACAGGTTACGAGAAGCTTAATCTCTCCCTCTGAGGATATCCATCCCTTATAGCAGTGAAGGGCTCAAACAATCAGGCTACACGTCACGCTTAAAAACTCTTCAGAGACAATTATTAAGATGAAGCGGTTTATTTTAGCCTCTTATTGCACTACAAAACAAGCTGTGTAAAGCAAACCAACCATGTGTCTTTTATTTTACAGAAATATCCGTCCATTCAAACAAGAATGAGTTAGCTGATTCCACATATCAAGTGAGGGTTCAACATTATTTTCAGGCCTACTGTGCTCTTCCAGTCCCACAGGCAGCACTCAAACAAATAAAGTAATGCAGAGACGTCACAGGTTTCATGTCTTTACAAAAAGGCTTGCCACAAAAAGGAGATTTTATTTGAGATTACAGTAATGCAGGGATCCAAACATATTCGTCAATCCAAAGATTTAGTCCAGCTTTGCTCCTCTATGGCCTCCTGTGTTCGCTCTAAAAGGCCCATTTGCAAAGACACAGGGGTTTTTTTTTTTCTAAAGAGAACAACTATGATATTTCATGTACATCCAAACATCAGGTTGACAATGCAAGGCTTTCAGGGTTGTTAATGTATCGATTCTTTAAAGTAAAAGCTGTTTAATAATACAGCTTCTAACATTTCAAAAACTGTTATGAAACTGGTAATTGTGTAAGCCTCCTCCGGTGTGATCACAGCTGATAGACAGATGTGATGGTAACCTAATCGTCAGTCCCCCTTCCTCCATCTGCACCAAACTCTGCACTCATCTGGTGTAACAAATTACACCTATCAAGGAAAAGAGAATAGGAATATATATATTTATATGAATAGAAAAATATACTCAACTAATCAAGTCATTGTACAAACCTAAATACAAACTCTTTAAAATGATTTACAGTCTGTATCTGTAGCAAGAGGACAGGCTAAAGAACACTCACTCTGACCCCCTGGTCCTGTGAACTAACCAAAGATATACATGTGGTTTTTGGATTTATAGAATATCAAAGTACTGGACCTTCAAGGATGATTGGATATTTAGGATGCAGTGTGCTGCAGGATCTATGTTCATACTTCATTTAATGTGTAACAGACACATTGAGGATTTTGTTTTCATTGTCAAAAGCTCTTATTTACTTAGGCTTTACATTTCACCAGTCAAATTAATCAAACGTCATAATGCATTCATCCTATATGGTAATAACAACATTCATTATCAGCAGTTCGGAGTACCCTGTAACACCCAAAACTCACCTACATTAATTCTATCCACCAGTGCGCGTACCAACAGTTAATCAACTTACACAAACTAAAAACAGCACCTGACAAGACAAATATGAAGTGTGCAGAATCTGGAGCCCTTAAGAGGAACTTAAATTTAACAGAAACAAATAAATGTGGTCCCCTTGTCCAATAAGTCAAAGCGCTGCAAATGTTGGCTTGCCGCTTCCCATAGTCTTCATCTAATTTACTGCTTTCTGCTTTGTGCGCCATGTTTTCATGGATCTTTTTTATCTTTGCAGGACTTCTGCCTGAAGGTCTCAATCTTCTCTTTCAAAGAACATTTGTTACCTTTAAAAAACAATTTATGTCTTTTAGCTCAGTGGTTCTCAACTCGTCTAGCCTCAGGACCCACCACAAACTCCTCCCTGATAAACAGTGACCCAAATTTCTGATATTTTTCCACTAATTTAAAAAAGTGCTTGAAAAACGGTTTAACATAAGGTCTGTTCCAGGCACATGCTGGCAAGCCACAGTAAACAGCGCCATGACCCACCGTTGGGTCCCGACCCACCAGTTGAGAATCACTGCTATATCTGATGTGTTTTTTTAACAGTCCAGATTCAGAGGGTTGCCATTGAAAGGACCAATATGAAAAAATATCTACTGAATTAAAGCATAAATTGACCTTACTATATCATCAGACAATGGCATGTTAAGGAAACATGCTAAGTGCTGGGGGTTTTAAAGCTCCCCCACACAGCTGGTTTCGGATGCCCCTTTTTTTGCCAGGCAAACGGCAAACCAACAGGTGTTGCAGAGATGGAAGCGGGCAAACGATGGGGTTCAAATATAACTGATTCTACCCAACCTTTAAATGCAAATTGGGCGGTGGTGGCGCGTTGGTTATCCCCATGTATGGAGGCTGTAGTACTTCAAGCGGGCGGCCCAGGTTCAAATCCAACCTGTGGCTCCTTTCCCGCATGTCATTCCCAACTCTCTCTCTCTCTCTCTCTCTCCCTGATTTCCAGCTCTATCCACAGCCCTATCTGTCCAATAAAGCCCCCCAAAAAAGCCCAAAAATAAATCTTAAAAAAGCAGATTTCTCTAACAAGCTGCACGAACAGAAACGTGGTAAAACTAGGATAAATATTGGAGATGCTTTTGAAAAATGGATAGAGTTTAGAAGAACGCAGAAAAGTTTCAAGACTGATAGAGAACTGGCTAAACACTGAAGCTTCAGTGTCCGCGACATGCCGACCTGCATGCACATCGACTTGGAGGAGGGGGCAGGGGGAGACAGCTCTCGCAGTAGATATTATAAATGCTACCTGTAAGTTACATATTGCTCCTTGAATGAATCTTCTACAAATAAACACATGAACAAAATTTTGATTAAAGCTTCAAGCTGCAACTGACCATTGGATAAATAACAGTCTGTCTTTACTTTCATGAGACTGAATTCAGTCTAAATAAGATTTGTGCTTGAAAAACGTTTGTGTCCCTCCATCTGGCTTCTTAGTTTAGCCAAGGGATAACTTTGTTTTAAATCTTCAGAGACTTTGTCATGAACAGTGACAGCTGTAACATATCCATTGTACAATATGAATTTAAGATCAAATGTAGAACTGTTATTTCAAACGGTTAAACTATGCATCAAATATGAAAAGAAAAAGACTCCGATCGTTTATCCCTCAAGTTGAAATGTCTTTTTACATTGTACAGTTTTTACATTCGCCTCTCTGCTTGCACATGTGCACGTTTGTACGCCTTTCAGTTTGGACTTTGGAGGTGCTTCACTCTGATGAGGACTCTCATCATTCATTGCAAATAAAAATCTTAAACATAACAAAACAACAACAATGAAGAGTAATTTAACATTACTTAGAAAAATCAAGCAAGAAAGAAGGAATACATTCATGTAGTAGCACCATGTTAACACCAGAGGGTGCTGTTGCACACATTTTCTCTCTTCATACATTTCACATCCCTAGATGATAATCTATGTGGAATGATTTAAAGCTGCAGGATTCATAACCACACATATTCAGAGTTACATTCTGGTGGTGTGGCATGAATTTCAATGTCCTAATTTTCATCAGAATGTGCCCCTTGCTGACTATATCCCGTCAGCTGCAGAGGATCCCGTCAGTATATCTTAAAATTAGAACTTCAGCTCTGTCAAACTTGAGTATGCATGAGGGGAAACAATGAATGTGACTGTGTCATCAGCATGTTAAAAATATGTATTAATCATTCTGTGTACTCAATAAAAGAACGTGAGAGAAATAAAGAAAGAAATTCTGCATTTGAACAAGTAACAAGTTAGAGCAATAAATAAAAAGTCGTATTAGAACCTGTCATACAAAAAACAAATGGTGCATAAAGGTGTGATAGATACGGGTCGTGTCACTTGTTCCCTCCATGTCTAAGGCCTCTGTTTATGAGGGATTCTCTCTTTCACCTTGTCAGTGCAGTACATGTCAGTTTCTCACTGTGGCCCCTCTTTGAGCACGTGGCTCCATCTCTTTCCTTTCATCCCCTTCACTCACCTCTTTTGCTCCTTAACGGCTCTCTTCTCTCATTACTCCACCTCACTCACTCACACACACTTTCCCATGTCCTGATCTTATCGTCTCACACTCCTCGTGCTCCTGACTAGCCTGGTCCTCACTCGCTCCTTGGCTGTAATGGCAGGCAGGGCTTGCAAGGTGGTGATGGCAGTCTTGGTCCAGTAGTCCACTTCTTTATAGATCCGGTACACCCAAAGCTTCAGCTCAAACAGGCCTGTTGGACCGTCTAACTGTAAAAATAAAAAAAAACTAATTTCTGACCAGCACATTCACTGTCAACATACACAGGGGTTTTTCCAAGGAGTGCCCCCCCCCCCCCATCTTTTTCCTGATTAGCCAATCTTAAAAGCCAATCCATTATTAGCCAAAAAAGTTTTATTTTTGTTAACAGTGAACTTTAAGGTCAGTATGAAAAAAAAAACATGATAAAATTGTGATCGTGATTTTTCCATACAAAAATCACATGATCATTTTGCTATGTACCTCTCACTACTTCAGAGTTAGTGAGAGGTTTGTATACATAAACTATATATAGATAGTATAGCTTTGTATATATAAACACAAATAACTTACTGTGTGTTTGTTTTCCACTGCCAGTCTCTTAAAGTATAACTTGGGGTGCATGCTGGGTAGTTCTGTTTCTACTCCAGCCTGTTCACTGTTAAATCGTCCCTGCAGCCTTTGTTTTCTGTTAAGTGTCTTCTGGGTCTCCTGGACTATTTAGTTTGAGTCAGCTACTCGCCAGCATTGGTTTAGTTCATCATTTTCCCAGCATTATTTAGTTTAGGGAGCTTGTTTTAGCTCTTTACAATTTATTTGCTCCCCCCACTCCAATCTATCGCTTGCGATTTTTGTAGTTGTCCTTCTGGGATAACTTTAAGGCACCCCTGGGTGCACCTGTGTCCCAGTGTCCCACCCTCACCCCTGTCTTCTGTCACCAAGCAGAACTTTGAGTACACTTGCAGTAATGACTAAGGTGTATTTTTAATATTAAAAATATAGTATTTTAAGTAGTATTGTAATAACTAAGATTCGCTTTATTGATCCAATGTTATTGTTTTCCTATTGTTCTGATATAACTATTATAAGATTATTACCTAATCTTTTAGGTGGCCTGAGAAAACCATGTCTATTGTTTTAATGTTCATTTGAAGTTTTAGTTAAAGTGATGGAGAATCATTTAGATCATCTCTGATGCAAAGTGGCAATTCGAGAGTCTGTTGGGGCCTTTGGCAAAAATGAATTTGGGGGCCCTTTAACTGGCGTTCATCACCATCCTGTCTGCCGGTGCTCCGACACTTACTCCTCTTCCTCTTTCTTTTTTCTCTCCTATAGATGGATAACTTCATCCCACAATCACGCCACCATAGTACTTACATATTGACGGGCTTACATATGGCGCTTGGAACAGAGAGCTAGTTTCAAAACCAGCCTAAAACTCCTCCAAGGAGCTTTAGATTAGAAATGGAGATGTTGATGGTAAATAAATACTATTTGGATATGTGCATGTTGGGGCACACACATACTTTATGCCACCCTATATACATCAATGCACCAGTCAGACTACGCCCAATCAAAATAGTCTGGATATGCCCCAAATTATAACACCTGTTAACATCAGCACCTACCTCTAACCCCTCCACACTGGGAGTCATGCCCGCCGTGCCATCCATCGCCTTGAGAAGTTCTCCAATGCTGATTATGAGAAAGGACAATCTGTCTTTCACCATCTTCCTCTGAGTCTCGTACTCAGACTTCCTCCCGTCGTCCAGCTCTTCTTTCTCTTTGGCGACGGCTCTCTCCATCAAGCTGCGGCACTGCAGCAGAGCTGAGTGGACACACCAGAGCTTGTCCCTGGTGTCCAGCTGGGAGGACGGAAGTGGGACGGACACAAGACGACCGTCGGACACGGGAACATCTGCAACGAAATTTTCCCTCTTCCTCTGAGATAAAAAAAAAAGAGAAGAAAAAAAAGGGGGGCGCAAATACAGAAGTTGTAGAGTGAAGTGCATGGGTGGAAGATTAAACCTTGCATTCTTTCAATTACTAACCACACTGATGTCACTTTTGACCACAACTTGGCAAGATATTGAAGCTCATGAATCTCTCTGAGGCAACAGGGATTTATCCTAATCCGAAAGGAATTTGTTCAGGCTCATTCACATTGCCTCAAAGAATAAAATACAACAAACAGAGACAATGGAGGAATTTTCCCTCAGCCTGATTCCGGTAAGGATTTATCAAGTCAACAAGTAAAAGGGTAAGATGAGCAGCTTCAAACGACACTCAAGAACCACAGAAAGAAGGTGAAAAAGAGAACTTTAGAACGTGCAACACACACAAACAATACTGCTCAACACAGTATGCTTTGAAAGTTGAAACAACATCAGAACCATATTCTTGTAGAGAGTTAGACCAGAAGATTGGCCATGCTAGCATATCAGTATGATACATATTAAGCTTCAGCCTGCAAGTGATTAGCTTAGCTTAGCATCAAGACTGAAAACAGGGGGCACATCTGGTCTTGCCAACTATGAATTTTTATAAACCTGGGAGAAATTGGGAGTTTTTGAGATGCTGGTAGGAGGAGTGTTTCAAGTATTCATGCTCAACTTAGCTAAATTAAGCTAGCTGCCTGCTGGCAGAGGCCTTATTTTTTATCATACAGGCCTGAGAATGGTATAAATCTTCTTTGGTGACAACATCAATTCACCAAATGTTTAATATTTGTAATGTAAAAACACATAATCAACACTGTGTATCTTTGATAAACACAGCATGGTAATGACATCACCTCTGTTTATCTAAGAACCATTTTGTTAGGACGAGATCTGGCAGCTGAAATCAGGGATCCCTTCCCATGCTGGACTGTAGCCATAAAGCTTTACTTGTGTGACTTGTGAATCCCAGAGGCCTCCTTGGGGATATTATACCCGAGGCGTTAATGTTGAACCCTGTGTGTGGAAGGTAGCAGTGCGACCGAGTGGCCGAATGTGACCTGTAAGCTGCGAGAGTCAGCAAGGGCGTTGATGGTTATTGCTCAAGCTGCAGAGGAAACATGATTCAAGTCGTTTTTGATATGCCAGGAAGTAATTCTGTAGCCTGAAGCAATATTCTCATGCACCTTCGTCTCACGTGTAGACCAGCTCCTAGTTATGCTGCTATAGGCTTAGACTACCGGGGGGAACTGGCACCTCTCAGTACATCATATTACTGCATGTATCTATCTGTAAATCTCAGTCACTAACCGCCTACTTCCCTGGGAGCTCTTGACCTCTCAGGCTCCTCAAGATCGTTGGTTGACAGCCTACCAGAACAACCCCAGGTCTTTTACCTGCCTTTTGTAACATAACAATGAGTATGGTCTTTTTACCTGCTCTTTTGTAATGTTAACAGAAAAAGAGTAAGGTATTTTACCTGCTTTTTGTGTCTAGAGATAACACTTGTTATGAGTTGATTGATTGATTCATTCATTGATCTTTGTGAACATGGAAAGCCCTGAAAATGATTTAGGAGGTACCAAATTAATGTTCTACCCAAAGTGTAGTCGAGTGACAACTTGTCTGGAAAACTTAAAACTCTGCCTGAAAAATACTTGCTCTGCATTGGATTTTTTCAGACCCATGTTCAAAAACTAAACTAAATCCAACATCAGGGACACATCTAAGGAGGGAAAACAAAAAAGGGAACATACTAAAAAAAAACCTATCCAATAATTCATGGTGTGTTCACTGGACTGTACAGTTTCTGTTGCCGTAGCTTTAGTGGGCTACAAAAGATTTTTCCAAAAGAAAACCCAAGCCAGCAAAAGTCAGGGAGAAGTGTTCATGCAGAGGAAATCTGAAAAGACAAGGAGGATTCACAGAGAAAGGTCAAATCCTGGGAGTGAGGTGGATGAAGTTATCTTGCCAGGCCGCTCCCTCGCTCCCAGTGAGGTACATAAAAGGAAGGTTGAGACGGTGAGCTGGCAGGAAACCAAGAAGTTTTAATAAACTGCAGCTCACACACCTATAGGCAAAAGAGACGCAGGCTTGTGGGAAAGAGATGAAGGCTTCGTGCCCAGGCATTGATGAGTTTGTGCCAGAATAAACGCCCACATCTGTCATTCCAACGAAGTTCACCCCCTCCACTCTGCATTCTTACCCCCTGCTGTTCTAGACATAATTTCCTTCTCTGTCTCACACACACACACACACACACACACACACACACACATCCATGCACTTTTTGCACACGTCCTTTTCATCCTTCTTTTTGTCCTGTCTCACAAACACACATGCAAACACACTTTGTCCATGTATTAATAACAAAACAAAAAAAACGTAGACATGAGCACACACATTTACAGAAATGACACACACACAGAGTCACACAGATACACTCAAATGGAAAATCTATTAATTTTCCATTTAACCTTGGCCCAGTTTTCACTCTCCTTCACCCACACACAAAATGTTTTTTGTTTTTTTGTTTTTTTCCTCCTCTCAGTTCCTGCTCTGCCAGTCTCACACTGGGGATCCATGCTTCAGGTACAGGAATGTAACCAGTGCAAACTTTCTCCATACTCACATAAAGTTCCAGTAAGATGGAGCACTCGTGGTGCAGCTGCTCGGCTATAGCTACGGCCCGGTCCGTGGTGCTGCTGGTCCTGCTCAGGTCTGAGCCGGTCATGCCTCTGGTCCGCCTGTTTGCCATTGGACCATCTGCTGACTCTACCGGGAAGTCACAAAACGCACTCGCAGCTAGAGAGAAAAAGCCGGGCCCCCCCCCCCACACCCCCCCTTAGTATACACCCCTGAACGCCTCCCCCATCCCGACAACTCGACAGCTCACGGTTTACCTTTTTCTTCCGCTCTCCTGTACCGAGTCAACGCACTTTTAATTAGAGCGGAACACTACCCTCAGATAAAGTTTCGGTAAAACGAGTTCTCTCGCTCACTGTTGCTGATTGTGTTGCACAGTTTGAAGCCAATTCTCCGCCCTTTCTCCCGAGAACCTGATGCCAGGCGGGAGGAATTTAACGGGACACGCGGGGGCGGAGAGAGACGCGGACGGGAGGAGGGAAGAGAGCTGAAGAGCTGAGCTGACTTGTGACGATCTTATCGGAGTTACTGGTAGTGACAGAACCGAAGACGGTCTAAATTTATGAAGGTTGTTGCTGTTCTGTTTCAACCTTGCCCTACCGGTGGACAACTTAGAATAGCCTTAAATGTAAACGATCACAGAGAAAGCAGCATGTCTCTGGTGGGATCAGTGGCGATTAGATCCTGTTAGGGCCCTGGGCAAAAATTCACAGGGGGGGGGGGGCCCTCTAACTATTATTCATCCACATTATGCCATAATAAATAATCTAACACCAACGATAATATCGCAGAATGGGAACTTTTTTTATTTTCAAAGTTCACATTAGAACACTAAAATCCTTCATTTTCCTTTGGTGACTTTTAAGAATTTTAAGTGAAGCAATTAAATGAAGTAATAGTTAAATTATCTAACAAGGCTTGTGCATGTGTTGTTTTTAAAGAGTAATTTGAATCTCTTGGGCCTAAAGGGACTACGCTTAAGATAAATGTGTCAAAGATGTAACCCATCATTGTCCCCTTGTACCTCTCTCAATGCCTCAGATGTAAGCCCCAAGTGGTTTAGTTCCACAAAAATACACTGCACCACATTTTAGATTTTGTAAGTGCAATTTCATTTTAAATTGCTTTTCTCAGCCTCTTCATTCTCAGACGGACTCTCCCTGCTAAGGTGTACAGTGTATCAGTCTCTATAGGGGACCCTTATAGGTGACATTGTCATGGTAACTCTTCCCCCTACAGGTGAGGATTCACATGTCAGACTCCATTTAAAAAATCACAAGAACATAATTTATGACAAATACAGTTTATCAATTAATATGCACATCCATTTGGTGGTTAATGAAACATTAGCCTATTTGATCGTCATCTTAATGTTTATTAATGTTAAATAGGGTCTTAAAGCATCTATTAATGTAGCATATTAAAATAAAAAATTTGGACCCCTTGTTGTTCATGGGTCACGATGTAAGATATTGTTTTATTGCCTTCATTGTTGTTGGTTTATATGTTTTATTCTTAAAGCAACAATCTACTAATGAGATACATTGAAATGCTTGACAATAAGGCAAGATTAAAGCTAACCATTTGTAATGTTCAGGATGAGAGAGACGGAAATATCTTGATAATTCAAGCTTCAAAACCTGTGTAAACTGTGTCCTCTTCTTATGTCTGTGGGCGAGTTGTTGCCTGTTTTTTTGTTTTTGGACATGCTAGAAGCCAGAGTCTAAGTCCTAAGTCTGTCAGCTTCAGATGTGTCCATGTTTTCCACTGAAAAGTATTTAACAGGAGAGCATTGACAGTGAAGAGATTGCGTAGCCACTGATAAGCAACAGGAGGCCAAAAACAATCTCTTGCGGTTTTAGTAGCGTTTGTGTTTCCAAGGTTCCAACTTGATCAATGGGGACAAAGACCATTGGCTGTAATGTTAATTAACCTGTGATGTTAATTAATGGTATTCGAGATTACCCAGAAGCAGAATAACAAGAAGGCTATTAAAACAGTTATAACATTAACATTGCAAGGGGGCATTCAAGGACTAAATTCAAAACTAAGAAGTAATATTAAAACCACCAATCCTCCTTTAATTTTTATATTTGAGTAGTCTTCTCCATTCAGGAAAACTAGACTGTACCATGCCATACTTTAGACCGACTCATGACAACAGTAATGACTTAAATGTTGTGTTTTCTTTATGAATCTCACTCTCAGAGTATTAAGACAATACAGCGACTATAGGCTGACTGCAATGGCTTTCAAAAATAAATATGAAATGATGATCATATAATAGACATCATTTCATAACAGGAGAGCAACAGGTGTTACCAATGACAGTAATGATAAGTTTGTTACACTAGACTGCCAGTAAAGCCTGCGTGCATGCTTCCAGAGCGCTGTCACTGGCAGAGAAGGAGAGCAGCTGCTGTAACTGTTGGCACACCTGTGTTTGACAAGTCAACGAACTCAGAATGATATATTTATTTATAAGGCTTGTTTAAAAATAATTTATAATTTACAGAGGAAATGAATTGCACAGGTTACAGCACTGATACAGAACATTAAAAAAAAAACATAATACACAGATAATTATATATTATATATTTTACTGATAATAATATAACAACTAATCTTTTCTTGTGAGATGTCAATTTTGGGCTTCAATATTCTAAAATTGTCTTTACTTATTCCACATATACAAAATCTTAGTATAGAATTATTTATACAATCTTTTGTTTATTATATAATATGTTGTATGATTAATCAAATCTAAGAGCTATAGCTCAATTCAACCTTCTAACTTTTATTGCAAAACTATAAACTTACAAAATATCAGAATCAGCTTTGTATTTTCTTCAGTAACTATTGTCTAAATGTACAAAAAGTATAACTTTAAATATAAACATAATATAAGCAAAAAGACCAACAAACCTAAATAAGAAAAAAAAAATTATTTAATATATTACACATATTAAATATTAGAGTACATAAGTGAAAAAGTGCTCAGATTTTTGTTGTTGCAAAGTCTACAGCAGGGGTCTCCAACAGGTAGCTCGGGAGCAGGTTTTCAGTAGCTCGCCTATAGATTGACCGACTGTGTTAAAAATAAAAATCTGACAACGGTAAATGCACCTCTTCCCACTATTCATATATTTGGCCCATAAAAACAGGTAGTACTAATGTTTTCTTGGACATTGATGTGAATTTAAGATGAGTGATAAGCATTGGCTTATTGCAATTTCAATATGCAAACAGTATCTTAAATAAATGCAAGCGATTTGATGCAAGTAGCCCTTGGCCACTTTCATTTTTTGAAAGTAGCTCTCAGATGAAAAAAAGGTTGCAGACCCCTGCTCTACAGTGTTCATGAATAAATGTTTTGTTTTTTTTTTGTCATGTTTTTTAAAGTGCAATACCACGCCTGTGCTGTAGGTGTCAGTGCAGGCAGCGGGGACATGAACAGTTGCTGAACGACAGAAACAAGACTGTAAATATTAAGACCAGAAGCTGCTCAGCTACTATGAAACCTAGATGTTTCTTTTATTAAACAAAAAAAAAGAAACTGGGAATGATTGAATATATTTCCGCTGTGATATCCGAATCTTGAATTCATCAATTAAATATATTTAACTAGTCGGATGCAGTATTATTTGCGAGTTTTGACTTTGATAGCCAGCTGAGCAGCTACTTAGCCGAACAAGCGTTACCCACAGGCTTTACCTTGAATAAGATAGTAAACATGAACTCTCTGGTTGGTTATGGGGTGTCCTCGGAGTCTGACAGCGATGGAGAAGTGGATAATGCAAACAACGATGCAGTTTGGTACGTGCTCATTTAAAAAACAACAACAACAACAACAACACATAGGCCTATATTTCTGACTATACGACAGTAAGTTACTGATTGTAACTTCTGCTCTTCTTCCTTCTTCAAGTTGTGTCAAGGAGATGCGTGATGAGAAATCAGCTGTCAAAAGGACCCGCAACTTGTTGGAGCCTGGTTCATCTTCCAGTGAGTCAGGCAGTGAAGCAGAGCAGGAAGAAGACCCCCAGCCTTCTTCTTCATCATCATCATCACCACCACCACCACCACGTCATCCTCGAACACCAGCAGCAGCTTTTCCTGCAGCCCACCAGCAGCCAAGTCTTCCTCCTCCTTCTCTGGGTTTGCTCACCTCCTATAAATTGCCTCATCCTTCCCTAAATTCCTGCTCCGACAGCAGCGTGTTTGCCAATCCTTTCAAGGCTCAAGCGGAACAGAAGCTCAGCGCCTTGCAGAAACACGTCCCCCTCACAATGCAGGCCAAGCCCTCCCAGATAGGAGGCAAAAGGGTGTGCGTCTCCTACAGGAAAGATGGGAGGTGCAGGTTTGGCATCAAATGCAAGTACGCTCATGACAGTGACCTACAGACCACAGTCACTCCTACCGACTGTCTCCCTCCCGTGAACGAACAAACGCCGGCGTCCGATTCGGTCGAGGCTAAAGAAGGTGGTTCCACATCCCAGACCCTCCAGCTAGAAACGAAAGAGGAAGAGTCAGGGGGGCAACAAGGGAAGAGGAGGAAGATTGGACTGAGTAACACCATGATTCCCCCCAAACGAGCTATGAAGCAGTACGCCATGATTCGGGACAGAGAGCGGCTCAATATGTCCTGATGGGATTCTTTATAAGCTGTTACACGTTTCTGTCACAAAGCAATAGTGTTGGGATGACATGTAGAAGGTTTGCACAGTACATTGTGTGATCAATAATGACTCAGGCTTACACATACTGTACATCTGGCAGTTTCTCTTCTCCACATTTACACTCTCGCACATGTTAGGGCCATTTGGTTTGGGATTAAACACCCAAAGATAAGACTACTGATCGCTTAAAGTCGAAAATGTAACATCCCCACTTGAAATTAAAAACATAAAAACATACACATCTTCAGTAAGTTGTTTTTTTTCCCCCCCAACACGATGTTCTAAAGAAGTCAGTGAATACATGCACTCTGGATAAATGTTATGACGTTTATTTACATCATATAAACAAACATGTTTTGTGTTTATCCTACCACACATCCTAGATCATTATATCATAGAGGTGCAGATTTCAGTATTAGCTCGTGTTCTACGGTTTCTACACAGCTTTGCTAATTGAATTACATTATGTGTTATAGATTACAGAAAACAATTCTTGTGCTAACTCAGTGACTTTTTCTTGCTGTTATTTTTATAGGCTCATAAGTGATTAAACGTGTCCTAGGTCACATTTTGGCATCCTATCATAACCAACGAGTTTTGTGAGTAGAACATATATGGATTATTCCTCCTTCAAACTGAACCAGCGAAGCTTCCCTAACATCTGCACAGATGTTACTTACCAGGTGTACTGACACTATCTAAAACAAGTTAAATATGCATATTTTTAGACTTTTTTTTTTTAACAGGGTAATGAGAACTCTTTTTGTCCTCTTTAGGTCTATAAATGTTTCTATTTGCCTCTTCAGGTTGTATATGCTGTTCTATTGTTTCCTTAACCTTACCAAATAAAAGGCTGTACAGTGAGAGCTGGACAAATGAAGAAAAATAGCTGCCTATTCATTTTACAGAATAATGACTCCGCACGTATGTGGGTCTGTTCATAGCTTTCTTGTTTGTGTTTTTGTGTTAATTAATAATATAAATAGTCAATTTATTCTGATATCATCAGGAACCTTGATGCCAAACACTTGGCATTCATGTGCAGTATGTAACTAAGAGGTATGTTATTTTATTGCATAACAGCAACAGCTCTGCAACATAACCTCAGCATCATTACATACACTCACATAGAAGGCTAGTTATGTTTACAGGACAGTATGTACAAAGGCAACAACTTACACATACAGAGACATACACATCTTTCCCTGATACAGATATTCTAAAAAGCTACCAAATCTGACTATGAGTGAACAGTATATCATATATTAGTGATCCTACATTTACCCCAAACTGTTTTAGTGCACTATTCTTGTTCTACAAGAGCACCTGCTGCACGTGCACCTCACTGCTGTCTGACAGCACCTCCTCTTGACCCGACTGCTCCCAGACCACACTGTCCTCCTCCACGTCTTCTGTCTGATGATGGGAGCCGACTGACTGGGAGGACGATGAGAGCACCGGATTGTCCAGAAGAAAGCTGTCCCTGTTGGTGGAGGCTGGGGACTGGGACAGGAGAGTGGGGCTCTGGACGGCTGTGTGGAGGGCCTGAAGCTGCTGAGAGCTGGCTAGAATGGGGATCTGCTGAATGTGGGTCTGAGACTGGCTGACGGGCTGGAAGGTCATTTGAAGGATTTGAGTCTGCCCGTGGCTCTGCTGCTGAGAGGAATAGGACTGAAGAGGCTGCAGTTGGGGCTGGTGCTGGGTCACCACTGAGCCAGAATGGAGGGTCAGCTGTTGGATTTGGGGATGCGACTGCTGAGCCGCCTGCACGAACTGGACGGGCATCTGTAGCTGGAGGTGAGTCTGTTGCTGGTTATCAGCCGGCGAAGGGGGGTCCATAGGGGACAGGGCAATCGTCACTGGCACCTGCATTGTATGGAGGCTCTGGTCTTGTCCCAGTAAAACCACCTGGTGACTCACTTGTTGGGTCATATGACCCATCTGGGACACCTGAGCCAGTTGCTGCCCGACCTGTCCTTCCTGGCTCAGCTGGTCCCCCTCACAGTCCTGCCCTACTTGGACCACATCCAGGCTGGTGACCTCTGCTTGCATGGGGTTTCCTGAAAGCTCCAGTAAGGAGGCGGGAGTTGTGATGAGGGCACCAGCATTGGCTGCCAGCGCCTCAGCAATAAGCACCTCTGGGTGACTCTTGGCCTTATGGGCCACCACACAGTCCTTCTTTTCAAACTTCTTGCCACAAATGGAGCAGGAGAACTGATATGTGGCATCAGCATCGTGCTTCTTCATGTGCCAGTTTAGAGACGCCTTCTGACGACACGTGAAGCCACAGATCTCACACCTGCGGGGAAAAATGACAGGAAATGGCTTGAAGTAATCCAAGAAAAGTTAAGGCTATTACTAAACATTCAAACAAAAGAGAGTACAGTAAGTGAGCTAGTGAACGCAGTAACACTCACTGTAGGGGTTTCTCTCCTGTGTGGATCATGCGGTGCACAGCCAGGTTGTGGGAGCTCTTGAAGGCACGAGCGCAGAACTCACAGATGTAGTCCCTCTGGTCTGAAAACACGAAATACTTCAATATAGATATGTTTACAAAATACTTCATAATAACTACAACAATGAGTAGTCAGACATAGATCATACAGCATGTGTATGTGTACCTGTATGGTGCTTTGCGTGACGAAGCAGCTGCTTCTGCAGGCGAAAGAGCCTTCCACATGAGGGGTGAGGACACACATACTTCTTCTTAAGCAAGTGCTGGTATTTTATATGGTGCTGGTGTGCAGAACAAAAGAAAGACAGATACAAACAGTGAATCAATATCAGTTAGATGCGATAGGTAGATTGTGACAGCTCTCAACTCAAACAAAGGTTTAGGTCTCTTTTTATATTTTCATTCATCATATTTCCATCACAGCTTTGATTTAAGCTTAGCTTCAGACAATGATAAAAACGCTTCAACAGGAAACAAACACCTTTTGTCATGGAGAGATTCTTTAGGAAGGTCACAGGTTTCGTTGCTCGTCAGGAGCTACTGACTGCACCTGTGATGTTCTGTATTGCATGATGACAATCAGCTGGGCTGGGAGGCTCTGTAGGGAGGTGGACGTTTCCCTGCTCAGGTGGTTGTGTCTACAGAGAGTCAACACCATCAGTTGGCTTTCTGTGTTTTTGAATGAAACTCTCATTTCTCAGCCATTTGTGACTCCTTCCATAAACCCACCTAATCATTGACACCCACTACTCTTTTGTTTGTAGCTCTACTTTATGTTTGTCTATCACTTGGATAGAGTCAGTGTGTGGTTTTGGAGGGCTGTGTTCTTCTGCCACCTTGAGGCAACCCAAGGCCCACTTACTTTGTACCCTAAGTGCAGTGTTTTGGTTGTTCCCTGACTCAAGCCCCCCCCCCGTTATTCAGCAACTGGGGGAGAACGTAACACTTTTTATAATGCAACTTTTAACCAATGAGTCTACCAACAAAAATTTAAATAAGCAACTTTCAAATACCACTGAAGGATAAAAAGTAATCACAATTAGACCCTCTGCGGGAAAAGACGCAGTACATCTTATTTCCTTTCAGATCTCGCCCTGTACATGAGTAAGTAGAGTAATGTATCATCCTGCTTTGTGTTAACGTCAAACAAAGAAGTCATCGGGAATCTTTGCAGTGAACTTTTTTTTGAAAGGGGCTCTTTCATCAGCGTGAGGTAAATTGACCTACCTCGTGGCCCCGAGAGTCGTTGTGAATAACCATGTAGAAATAATCGATCTTATTGCTGATATTCACGTTTCCTTTTGTAGGTCTCTCAGAGGCATCAGTATTCATTTTAATCTCTTCAATCACTCTGTTTTACACAACCACTTTAAATAGTCTAAAGGTTTAGAGTAGCCAATAAAGTTCAGTTTACTAACATGGATACATTGTCATGTGTAGAGAACGCGAAGGTGGACAGTGTGTTTTCTGAGACTAACCTGTAAGTAGCGAGGATGAGCCAGGACCGTCCCACAGCCCTCCATCTCACAGCGTACATACTGCACTGGAGGCTTCTTCCTGTGTGAGTGAAACAAACGTCATCCAAAAGACCGTTATACTGACATCAACAAAACGGAGCTCATATATATTCAATATTTTGCTCACTATGTCAGTCACAAACGAAATGATGAAATGATGACTGGACAGTTCATTAAATTATATCACAAAGTTCCAAAAAGCCCGAAAAACACAAAAAGCACTTCACCTTCTCTTTGGAAGCCGCGGGGTTTTGTCATCTTTTTTCCGACGACCTCTCCTGACACAGAAAGAGGACAGGCTATTACAAAATCAAACGTTTCAATAAAACAATCAATACCTTGTTTTCAGAGCTGAGCACACGTCTGTTAATCTGTGTTAATATTTGTATTATTCTATTACATAATAAAAATACAATGTGATAACCTAATATTCACATCCACTTAAATAAGACAAAAAGTCAAATCTATTGACAACTTGATACACATGAACTGGTTCGGTACTTACTTCCTTGGCCCATCCGGGTCCTCCACCGTTTCCTCTTCCAGCTTTACTTCCTCTTCCACTATCTCAACGTTCTCTGAACCTTCAATCTTGATCTCAGCAACCTCCCTCTCTTTTTTGGGAGCTTTCTCCTTCTCTTTCTTCTCCTTCTGCCTCGGAGGAGGTCTGCGCTTTGCTTTAGGTACATCCCTGAATGAGAGGAGGGAAGGTTCAATTATTTAGTTGCTTACTAAAAATATGAGGCTTATGTTTTTTGGTGTGTCAGACACAGACACACACTCACCTTTCAGCCCTCGGGTCATAGCTCTGATCGTTCAGGTCATCTCTGAAAGGAAGATCTTCATCAGTGCTGAGGCCCAACTCCTCCTCCTCTGCACCACTGAAAGCAAAACAACAAGTCAGTTAAAACAGGATTCCCTATTGTCTCCATGGCTTTGAGTGTATGTGCTTGAGGTAAGCGTACCTCTGACTCTGCGGCTGGAAGCTCAGGTCATTTAGGTCGTCCTGGAATGGAGGGTCTTCATCATCCAAGCCTGGTACAGCAACATCCTCACTTTCCTTCTCTTTCTGTTTACTGCGTCAGCATAAGTCATCATCAAACACATTTCCAAGTTGTCACTCAGTCACACATTATCAAGCAGTGGCAATGAGTAACATCCAAACCAGCTGGTGGAAAAGCGGTAGGTGTGTGTCTTTTTTGCTTTTGTGCATGTCTGAATGTGTAAAGGTAATTTGTACATTAGCCTAATTTGATGCCGTTTTG